TAGGTATAGTTGGCATGCCAAGAGTCGAGGGTTCTACGCGGTCCTTCGGGATATATATATATTCTGTGGAACATGTGTGAAGTCTTGTAAGACACATACTTGATCCCTAGTATATGTATATTATTCTTAAGGAATAATATGTGGTCCTTATGGACATTATTATATGCCACTACGGTGCAATTCTACGTGGTCCTTCGGGATATATATATATATTCTGTGGAACATGTGTGAAGTCTTGTAAGACACATACTTGATCCCTAGTATATGTATATGATTCTTAAGGAATAATATGTGGTCCTTATGGACATTATTATATGGCACTACGGTGCAATTCTACGTGGCACTTCGGTGCAATTATACGAGCTGTGGTGACAGCATTAGTGCACAACCTCAATGTACTCACATACCTCTATTCTCAATAATATACATGGGCAATTGAAATACAAACTTTAAAGTGAAAGTGGTACAAGAAGGTAAGTTTCGTATGTGCATGATATGATTATATATGTTATCATGTAATAGATACATACATATTGAAATGTCATGATCAAATATTTAGAATACATATTCATCGGATGAAATGGGTATTGATTGGAAAAATGTATGATATTATATGATAGATATGTTAATGATAATGATAGTATTTGTACAGGTATGTGTTTTGTTATATGAAATGTTCTATGGTTTTTATTATATGTTTATATGCCTCACTAAGTCAACGACTTAGCGTGTGATTGTTTCACACGTAGGTTTCGAGAAGAGTAAAGAGCAATATGGAGCAAGACCGGTCAGTTCTCCTTACCAAATGTCAGATCAGAAAAGAGGTGAATAATACGTATTTTAATAAATAAAGTTTTAGTTGGCATGTAATCAAAAGAATATATATTGTATAAGCTCTGAATAGTTTTGTAAACGTTTTGAATAAGTTCAATGTTATAAAAGTTTTTAAATTACTCACTATTTTATATGAATAAATGTTTGAAAAGACAATGTGACCCTTCGGACTCGTATCCGGGTCGGATATGGGTTGGGGGTGTTACAACATCGATACACTCTTTTAAAATAAAGACATCGAATGCAATTCGTGCATCGATGCATAAGTAGTGCATCGATGCATCCCATTAATAGTGAAACATCGAATACAATCGGTGCATCGATGCATAAGGAGTGCATCGATGCATCCCAACAATAATACTACATCGAATACCTTTTATGCACCGATGCATCAGTAGTGCATCGATGCATACCTTCATTAAAAGATGAAATTGACTTTTCTCTTAGTCTAAAGAGTGAACCCTTAGAGTATATTAGTTATAATACTGATATAGATCCATGTGTGATTATGTAGATACTAAAAGTAAGCTTATTCCGGAACGATCAAAGGATTAGAATCGAATCAAAGCAAAGCTAAGGTAAGTGCATACTATATGTATAGTATAATGGAATAAGACTTGTGATAAGTCTAATCCTTATGTTGATTTTTATAATACAATGATTGTGAACATGCATACATGATAATTATGGTGATATGATATATGATATGAGAACATGATATGAATTAAGTGATATGAGCTACATGATCTACGTGAATGTATGAACTTGTGATACATGTGATATGATATGAAATATATAATTACACATACATATGGTATGTGACAGAAGAGAAAGAACAAGTGATATGAAAGGTATAAGAATAATGCTCATAGTATACGATATGAGAACTATAGGTGTAGTTGGCATGCCAAGAGTCGAGGGTTTATATATGTTTAAAGGCACATATGAACAGTTTACATATGTTTAAAGGCACATATGAACAGTTTACATATGTTTAAAGGCACATATGAACAGTTTACATATGTTTAAAGGCACATATGAACAGTTTACATATGTTTAAAGGCACATATGAACAGTTTACATATGTTTAAAGGCACATATGAACAGTTTACATATGTTTAAAGGCATATATGAACAGTTTATATATGTTTAAAGGCACATATGAACAGTCTACATATGTTTAAAGGCACATATGAACAGTTTATATTGTGACCTCTGGATCGTGGTCCTTCGGGACGAATACTGAACTAAGGTTCGGTGCCCCATGAGGGAATTAATACGAGCTGTGGTGACAGCATTAGTGCACAACCTCAATGCACTCACATACCTCTATTCTCAATAATATACATGGGCAATGCAATTGAAAGACAAATGAAAGTGAAAGTAATACAAGAAGGTATGTTGCATGTGTGTATGACATGATTATATATTGTTATCATGCAATAGATACATGCATATTGAAATGTCATGATTCAATGGTATGAATGCACATTCATGAATTTATTGTTATATGTTTTATATGCCTCACTAAGTCAACGACTTAGCGTGTGATTGTTTCACACGTAGGTTTCGAGAAGAGTAAAGAGTAATGCGGAGCAAGACATGTCAGTTCTCCTTACCAAATGTCAGATCAGAAAATATATGTACTGTATATAGAGTGTAGTTGGCATGTAGTCTAAAGATATAAATTGTATGAACTCTGATATATTTTGTAAACGTTTTGAATAAGTTAAATGTTATAAAAGTTTTTAAATTACTCACTATTTTATACGAATAAATGTTTGAAAAGTCAATGTGACACTTCGGACTCGTATCCGGGTCGGATACGGGTTGGGGGTGTTACAGGCTATGACTGAATGATGCATGATATTTGAATATTTGTTTTTACTAGCAAATATGATTTTACCGAATATGGATCATGGAAATTACTGCTCATTATGTGAATTGTTTTATTGAAACGTTTTCTTTGGGTAGGTTGGAGAATGGAGGTTCAACTCTGATCAAGCTGGTAAATACTTAAGGACCTAAGACGGCCCTTGGGTAGGCTCTGCGGCTCTGAGACCTTTCTTGGATAGGCCCTGCGGCCCCGAGATTTTTCTTGGATATGCCTCGTGGCCCTGAGAACTTTCTTAGGTAGGCTCTCAAACCCCAAGATGCTCCCTTAGGTTGGCTTCTTATATGCAATGGGTATAAGGTAAGCCATATAGATGCAGTTCTGGGGAACTGTATATGGTGTACGGGAGGAGGGTAAACTACAAGTTTTAAAAACTTATGCTTTATCAAGATTTCCATGATATTTTACTGGACTATAACTTGATTGCTTTACATATTATGTTTTATTCGCACTGTTGGAACACACTGAGCCCTAGCTCACTTGGAGGATTGACGCATTCTTGAAGAACTTTTTGTTGTAATGTTTTTTTTTATCTTCCGAACTGCTTTCAATTATGGTGACATGTGCCTTTATTTTGAAGTACTTATTTTATGATGATGTTTACTGCCTTTTTGCTACTGATATTCGATATACCATACTTCAAATTTATTACATGTTTTATTTTACTTAGTCACTTTTAGTTTTAAATTTACGAATTGGGTTTTTATCATTATTTATTATTCTTTTATAATTGTTATTTGTAATATGATTTTAAATTATCAAATAACTTTTTTGGAAAATGTTTTAAGAATTTTTAATGTAATCCATTATACTTAGTTGAAACGCATAGGCTAGGTCTAGGGGGTTACAATATCTTATCCCGTAATGACGGGAGAGGTTCGCGAACCTTGGGTTCCCGAGTCAATTTCATATATAGCTCTCAATTTAAGTATTTATGTTTTTTCATATAATATAAAATAAAATATTTTGAATGTAAAAAATAAAATATCAATATAATCTATTGAATGACTTCAACCATAAAAGAAAATGTTTTTTATAAGTCTTAGGTTTGAGCAGCTTCATTCACATAGCGTGTACACATTGTCCATAAATTAAGAAAAATATGTACAAATACAGTCACATCAAATTATTAAAAAAATATCAATTATCTTATAATAAAATTAGCATAAAATCAATTAAGTTTAATCTATTATTTCGTGTACGAATTTGTCATTATTTTACAATATAGTATCTACATTTTTTAATCAATTTGGTATTTGAGTTTTTCATTTTTACAAAAGTGATACTTGTGTTATTCTTTGAATAAATTCGGAATCGATATTTTATTTTAAATATTATATATTTAATACTTTTATTTGTTATTCATCATACAAAATTATATATATATATATATATATATATATATATTTAATAACTGATAATTAATTGTTTTTAAATTAAATTAAATTATTTTATTTTAAATTATAACAAAATGTTATATGAACTCTACATTATACTTTTAAACATTGGACATTTATTTAATAAATATATGTTAACAAATGTACAATATTTGATTAAACATAAGTACCAAATTTATTAAAAAGAAAATAGGTGTACTATATTCATAAAAGTGATGAATTTATATACCAAATATGTATCGTTTGACAACAATAAATATCAAATTGGTTAAACTAATACATGAGTCACGTCTATAAAAAACAACAACAAATTCATATATCAAATGATATATTAAGTTAATAAATTATTGAAACGGAAGTTGCAAAGCACAATTAAGTGCTTCCTTTACTAATTCATTGGTAGAATTATGTGCAAGATTGAGTTGTTAGTGTAATTTTCAATTTAAAAAAATTATAAATTTTATTTAAAAATGAAAAAGTTTTATATCATTATAAAAGTAATTGACATTATTAAAAAAATTAATTTTATAATACCAACAACCAATTGGTTTAGTGGGATAAGACATTAAATCCTTTAAACAAAGTCAGCGATTCAAATCATGGTGTTTGTGAATAGAGCAAACTGGGTTGGGAGGGTCGCCCTCGCCTCTATAGTACCTGGTCGGGATTAGTTAATCAATAGATCAGATAGCGATAGTTATACCCAAAAATAATAATTTTATAATTTAAATTTCTTTTCTTCCATTGATATTTCCAAAAGTTAAATATATTTTCATATTTTGTACATATATTTCTTATATTTGAATTGTCATAACAGTTGTATTATTTTTATTAACAGATGGCATGATTTTTCAACCATGTTCACTAATATAAAGAATAGAGAGAGAGGGGATAAAATAAATTGGAGCATGATGGGTTCTGGGTCCAACACAGCTCATATAACCGTTAGGGGTGTTTGGTTCAAGGATGGGATGAGAATCTCACATTCCCATGTTTGGTTGGCCGTGAATCTCATTCTCGGTAATGTTTTATTACCAATAGTAGATTTTTTGGAGTATATTATCGGGAATGACATTACCTTCATTCCCTTAAGTATTGTAACATTACCAACGTTTTGGACTAAAATGCCCTTAAATTTTTATTTTTTTTCAAAAATATTATTCTTCTGTCATTGAATAATAAAAATTCTACGAAGGTTAAATTATAAATTTATCTTTAAATTATTTTAGATTTACCAAAAAAAATCTATAATTAAAATTTTATATGAAGTTCAGGGGTTAAAAAAAATTTACCCTTTCATTAAACCTTTTTTATATTTTTAACTTTGTAAAAAAATTATATAAATATTATGAATTTAATTTTTTAAAGAAAATATATAAATATTTTACAATTTGTAATATTATACAAATATATAATAAGGACAATTTGGTCAAATATACATTCCAATAATCTTTTATTCCTTTAACCAAACACGGTAATCTTACATTCATGCTAAACCAACCAAACACAAAATACATCATTTCTAGTAATCCTATTCCCTGGTAATCTTTTATTCCCATTAGTAATCTTACATTCCGTGAACCAAACGTACCCTTAGGGGGCCAAACCATTTACTAACCGGAAATTGGTAGGACACAATAGGGCAAAATTGGCCAAGTGAGGTATATGAGTCTTTTATTTAGTTTATTAGGGTAATTAAAATTTTATTTTTGGATCTATGGTCTTTTCTATAGTGACATGGAACTCGTCACGTCGAGGTGATAAATTTCAATAAAAAATATTTTTTTAATTATAACTTTTTACCTTGATGTGATGAATTTTAATAAAAAAATTTATTTTATTCGAACTTGTCACCTCGACGTGACGAATTCCAATAACACTGAAGAAAATATAGTATATCCTAAAATAAAATTTTACTACCCTAATGTGCTAAATAAAAAAACTTGTTATCTTTTTTGGACTACATCAGCCACACAATATCCATTATCCATACATTTAGTAAAATTTCTTAGATAATACAATAATAAAAAAATATATAGTTCAAATGAAGTGTTGGAGAATTTATTTCTTAGTTAGGGTGTTTGTTACAATATAAGTAGGAAATATAGGGAGTATTTGGCGTCTTCGGGGATATACATAAAAAATACAGTGATTTTTCTATGTTGTATACAGATCAGTAAGCTGTATAATCTAGAAATTATCATGTCATTTGAATATCGTTTAAAAAATTATCAGATGAATTAAACATATTCCTATTTGTACTATAATAAATACTCTAGTTGAGAAAATAAATTTTTCATTACTTTTTTTTAAACTTTTTTTACTGTATTATCTCAATGATATTGCCCCCACATATTTACTTTATAAATTCTTTTTACCCTACCTCACCACTTGACAAAAAAAAAAACCCTTCCTCCCAACAAAATTAGATCTTGCATGTATTTTGTAAATTTAAATTCTTTTAATCCAAATTATTATTTTGACTATTCAATTCAATAATTTACTAAAAAATTAGAATTAATATTATAGTCTTCATTTTTAGGGTTAATCCCCTAAGTTCTTTAAATTTCATAAGCTGACACTGTAAGTTAGAGAAAATCTTTAATCAATTCATTTAGTATAATTATGTTTCATAACCTATTGTCTGAGTGCATTTTGTTTTCAAAATAAGACAATGTTCATTTATTAGGTGTAAGTAGTGTATCTCCCGTTTTTATTTGGGGGTGACCGTTATTGATTCCTAAAGTAAATCAACATCATTTTAAAACCCCATATCATGATTTCTAAATTATTAAGGCAATATTCATTTTTTAAGATTAGAAACAAAACTCCCGCTTTTGTTTTGGGTGGTCGTTATTAATCTTGGTGAATCGATATCTTTTTAAAATATTCATACATAGTGGATTTTAAATTAAATAAATCTTGAAATCAAAATTTCCAATTTTAAACTATAAGTAATCGATTTGGTACCAATTTTAGGCGTTATGGGGTGTTAATCATTCCTCATGCGTAATTTAATTTCTTATTTCGCATACCAAAACTTGGTGTTTTCAGTAAAATAAAATGTTTTATTAAAACTACCTAATCTTAGGTGTTCTAATCTCATCTTAAAAATGATTGTTGGCGACTCTCATCTTTCTATAAAAATCTTTTTTTCCCAAAACGTCGGATCTGCCTTCCCACCGAAAATAAGTTATCGGTTACGACAAAATTAAATTACAAAAATATTAATAAAATTGCATGTAAAGTGTGACAGATCTTCTTTACTCCTACTTTATTAATAGAATTCAAAGCTTATAATAGCATTCAACAAGGAACTTGGAAAAGAAATGGAAAAGCGGCCTCGCGAAGTGTACACCTGAAAAAGGGTTTTGTTGTGAAGTGCCAGTGATGCACCCACCAAGTTGCAGGGGGGGCAGGCTACCTCAAAAGTTGAAGTTCACACCACCAACAAAAATCTATTAGGCTACTATGAGTTAGTAGCTCCACTTGCATTTTTATAATTTTCAAATTTTGAGCAATTAACAGTTTTAGAACACCAAAACTTGCAAAAATATTGTTATAGAGAGGTGAAACAGAATGAAAAATCTGAAAGAAAGGTTAGGGTGAATAGTCATACTTCATCTTTTTCAGATTTATCTTCTAACATTACATGTATTGGAATCTATATAATACCATATTCAGTTATCTAGCGACAATTGTAACACTATTTATCTGATATTTTCTCAATTGATTGACGTTAACGAGCTTGGGCCAATGGTTCAGGCGTGTTTAGTGCGTCTTATGTCCTGGGTTTGATTTCCACCAGCTGTATTATGTTTCTTCATTTTGTTTTATACTCAATTGAGTGATAACACAAGCCACCATATAATTAGATACAAAATATATTTAAGAAAATATCATTTAAATTGGTAGTGACATTTTCATTATCTAATTAGAGATTAAATTTATTTGATTAAATCTAAATTAAGATTAAATTGATAAAATGTGTAAATATAAAAGACTACATATATAATTATATCAAATTTTTAGCAATCACTTCACCTTCTCCATTAGATGCTAACGACAATTGACTAAATTGATAAAACTTAAATAATTAAATGATCTAATTAATAAAATTAAAAAAATTAATGGTTAAAATAAAAAGATACAATAATTAAATAGTTATAGGTATAATTTAACCTTAAAAAAAGTAGATAACTAATTAAATCAGTAAAAAAATAAAATTATAAATTTTCATTATAATAAATACTATTAAATAATAATATATTATGGACACACCTCGAGTCACTACAGATATTACGGAAAAACGAATCTCAACCAATAATTTGTATCTTCACATTCTCCCCCTCTATATATTTGCATTCAACTCACTATCACTCTGTCCAACCTACGCTAACCCAAAAAGGAACCAAAAGGAGACCCTTTAACCCTCAAGAGCGAACCAGACAAGCAGAGCAAATTTTCTTTATAACCTGTAAAAATGGCGTAGGCGAGTACTTGGATGCTGTCGTTAAAGATAATCTTTATTTCTACGGGTATATTTGGAATAGCTTTGGGACTTAAAGTCTCTGTTCCATTAGTTTTGGAATTCTGTGTTTCTCAAGCTCCGTTATGGTGGAGTACGTTTCGTTCTTGGCTCAAGCCTCCGTACCTTTACGTGATCATCAATGGAATCATCATCACAATTGCAGCATCGTCGCGGTTTAACATAAACAACAGCGGGAAAGATCAGACGGAGCAGATACAACCGCAACCGAAGATCTCGGTGGATCAACGGCCAGTGGAGAAGTACAATAAAAAGAGCGGCTGGGAATACGATGTAGTAGAATCCAGTGTTTTCCTGTACAAGCAAAATCATAGAGGAAAAGAAGTGGAAACGATGACTCTTGAGGTTGAGGATGAGAACAATGCGGCGGTTGAAGATGACCGAAATGGAGATGACGAGTTTGTTATGTCTAAGTCGGAGAGGATTCCTCCATCTAAAACGAATTCTTCGGAGATTCCATTGCATGCTCTGTTTCCACAGGAGAAACTTGCGCTTTCTTCTAGATTCGGTCACCAGAAACATGCCAAAGCCAATCCTCAAGGTATATTCACCATTTCCCTCTCGAATCCCTTTAATGCTTACTACTTACTCGATTATATTGTGATTTGTGTCTATATCTAAGATTCTAAAGTGCCGGAATACAATATATATATATATATATATAAAGCTCAGAAAATCTTTCTTGGGAGAAGCCCATCTCCGGCGGCGTTTCAGTTCTGTCTGTTATCCTCGTATTCAACAATGTCGTCTACCTGACGCGCCATTGGACAAAATAAGTCCAAAACAGTCCTTTTTTAATGTACGATGAAAAAGTGAAGCATATGATGTACGTAATTAAGGAGTAATTAATTAATTAATGCAGTGTGGATGGTGCTAATACAGGTGGGCGAGCGTTGAGAGTGGCAAAGCAAAAACGGCATGAGACGCTGGAGAACACGTGGAAGATGATAATGGAAAAGAAAGCAATGCCCCTGTCGAGACACTTGCAGAAATCGGACACATGGGAGAATCAAGGCCGAAATATCAACATGGAGGCATCGGCCGACTCCACTGTGATGAAGAAATCAGAAATGTTCAGGGACCGGACATATTATGAGCTTCTACCTGTACAAGTAAGCTCTTCTCTGACTTCTGGAAAGCCGAGGAAAGAGCCGTCGCTGAGTCAGGAGGAGTTGAATCGTCGAGCGGAAGCATTTATACAGAAATTTAACGACGAGATAAGGTTACAGAAACAAGAATCACTTGATCAATATATGAAGATGGTTAATGGTGGAAGTTAGCTCCTAAATTACCATAGTTATATCAGATTAGCTTTTGGGAATATGTTTGCTCCAATAAGTTTTATAAGATTGGAGAGTTGTTTTTTAAGGTAGGTTTTATGTTTTTTTTTACGGTTTGGGTGTTGATCCAAATCCAATGAAATTCATAGGAATTACTAATATACTAAATGGAGGCAAGTTTCAATGAATGGCTCTGCTTCTACAGAATCATCATTTTCATGGTTCAATTTATGTAATTAACCATTTTAAATTTGAAGCTTGGCGATGAAGATGTAGTCTAAATCCAATAATAAATGTATGAAATTCATTTCATCTCTTTGGTTTGACCTCAACAATATGTAGATAATACTCGTAATTTCTTTTTGTTGGTAAAAGAAAAGTTATCCATCAATATATTTAACTGTGTAGTTTTAAGTTTTTGTTTCACGTAGATGCAATGCAAGGTTGACTTGTGAATCTGTAACCAGAACAAGTATAATTAAGGGCTGGACCCTCGAGATGTAATTTTGATCCTATTGGGACCCATAACACATGTGATCTGTTCTACTTGTTATTGTTAAGTTCTTAATTGGGTTGGTTATATAATTTTTTAATAAAATATTTTTAATAAGACAAGTATATTTCAACATCTAGACAATATATATATATATACCAACCTTCTAAAATTAGAACACATATAATGTATAGGGTAAATTACATATATAATCACCTAACTATGCTCGGAATTAATTTCAATAATTTTTTTCTCTAAATCATATTTAAAGTTATATTTTTTGTTCCGTTTTGATCATCCGGCATTAAAAAATAAACAAAATTGTTGACATGTCAATTGCTTTTCAATGATGATATAACATTATCTTATATTACCGTTTCTATTAAATGGTGAAAATATATTATATCATTCTCTTTTAAAAAATAGAAAAAAAAAATTATATGAAGCAATGCAATGTAATCGTAATATTTAAATCAGATGCCACTTGCTCAAGCAACATATACAGAGATGACCTCTTCGTTTGAACACAATAGTATGTGTAACCAAAGAGAGAGAGGGATGTGTCGTAACCGTCTTTCGGTTGCGCCCGGAATTGGGCTTCGACTTGGGTTAAATGATTAGGAGTCGTCACCGACCACTTTAAAACAAATTTAGGTGGGTCGGACACCATCTTACCTGATCTGCGTCTTACCCAAAGATGTGTCAGATTCGGGAGTCGATTACAGTCAAGGAAGGGTTAGCACCCTTGAACTGCTCTTTCGGTACTATATAATTTCTAGTTGTCTTTAGTTAAGAAAATTTTAATTTTAATTTAAAAGATAAAATGACGATCCAAATTACTTACCTTTAACCGTTTTTGAAAGCGTACCCTTAAGGTATCAAGAAAAGTGTTATAAATGAAAAAGTGAAGATACAGAAAATGAGATAAAGAAGGATAAAAATGAATAAATCAATAAATCAATACAATAAAAAGATCACAAAATAAAATGAAATAAAATATATAAAATATATAATAATAATAATAATAATAAAACATAGATAAACAATAAACAAAAAATGAGTAACAATACAGCCAAAGGGAAAAAAAGAAATAAGTATATGATATAATAGTAATAAATTGAAAAACTAAAATATATATATATATATATATATATATATATATATATATATATATATATATATATATATATATAAAAAAACATAACTAAATATGTACATAAGACAATAATAATAAAGAGGAAACTAAATAAAATATATGTATATACACGTTAATGATAATAAATAATAATAATAATAATAATAATAAATAAACAGTATATTTATGTAAAAGAGTATAATAAGATACTAAAAAGTATAATAAATACAAAAAAAACAGAAAGGATAAAAAGAAATAATAATAAATAATAAGCGGTATAGTTAAATATATATAACAAGGACTAAAATACAAAAAGAAAGAAATTTGTGGGCCAATTTAATGAGAGTTCGGGATTTACAATCAAATGTGGGGGGACCGAATTGAAAGGAAAAACGAATTAAATGACCAAATTAAGAGAGAATCAGAGCTTAAATTAGGATTTAGGGTTAAAATAAAAGGACCAAAGCTACGAGGGACAAAAAATGGAATTGCTCCATTTGTGTTTTAAAAACACGCATGATGTGTTGTATAACACTTAATTTTTTTAAAAAGATGCTTCATTTCTTTACCTTTTCTCACGAGAGCCCCATCCTCCCCTCTTTATTTCTCTACATTGTTCATCCAAGGGGATGAACACGCCACCGTGGGTTCATGGGAACCTAGAAATTGGCGCTGCGCCGCCTCTCCGCCGCCGTTGATCGGCGACAATTTTTTTATTTTTTAAAACTTCGAAAGCTTTTCGATTTTCCTCTTTTAGAATCAAAACTATTTTTCAAAAATCACCCCAGAAAAACGTAGATCTAGGAAAAAAGTTTTCGAAAGATAAGGGCCTCACTTCGTTCATCGGCCAAAACTCATTGTTTTGTGTTTTCTCGAATCGATATAAAGTGGAAACGAGCAAAAACCCACATGCAAACGAGTAAAGGTAAGGACTTTTCACCTCTTTTTATTGCTTTTCAAATTGTATACAAGGCTTGGATTTATCTCTGTTTTTGGTATTTCTCGTGTAAATCCTCGGTGAAATCGTGGGTGATATTGTGTACAACCGTGTATGGGCGCACGTGTAAACTCTCTTTGTAAATGTTGTGATTTTTGTATATTAATCGTGCCAAATACAATGGGGATTACACGTTATTTATAGTCTAGGGACATCTATTTTTAGAGTCCGATTTGGACTCAACTACTTTGGTCTTTTAGTGCTTGAATGACTCTTGATTGGTTTGTTGTTCATTGTCGAGGAAATCGGCTGCGTGGAGAGAGGAAACTGGCGAACGTTTTGTTGGCTTCATGCGGCGCTGAGATGGGAGATGAGATTAGGGTTGCCTACGTGTTTGGGCTTCAGCAGATACGGGTTATGTCTTTATGGGTCTGCTGGGCTCGTGTAGTATTAGTTCTGGGCCACTTGTTTAAGCCTGTAAAATAAATGTAAATTATATTATATTAATAAAACTATATAACATAATTTATAGTAAAACATTATTATTTAATATAATTTGAAATTATATAATATAATAACGTTAATTGGTCAAAATTTGGTGTCTACAGCTGCCCCTCTTTGTCTTTTTTATGGAACAAAAAATAGGACAAAGACAAAAAGACACAAATTTCGTTCGGTGGAGTTGAAAATTAATTATGATGTTTCAATTAAGAATAACTCCATGTCGTATTGAGTTGCAGATGGCTCCTCCGTCGCGAAGTCAAGTCCATCTTGAAATGATATGGAATTGAAGCCACAATTCAGAATTTGAATCGAAACGTGGCTTCTCGTCGCCAAATTATAATCAGCATCGGTATTCTTTTCGATTTAAAGACCTTGGTTAAAATTTGACTGGAAAGTAGCTCTTTGACTCCGCCATGTGGTTGATAAGCCCTCGAGCTAAATGGATCGAACTTGAAAGGTATTCGGTTGGCAGATAGCCCTTCTCGACTTAAGCTATGCTGCAAATGATATGCCTTGGAGCTAAGCGGAATCAAACTCGAAGGTCTTTGGTCGGCAGATAACCCTTCTAGCCTTGAGTTATGCTGCAAAACGATATACCTCCGATTTGAATGACATGATTCAGATGATTCTTCAAGAAAAGTTATCTCAAAAGAGACAGAATTCGTTTTAAGGGAAACTGTCTCAAGAGAGACAAAATTTGTTTCAAGTTGGGTCAATCTGTTTTAGAATCGTATCCGTCATGAAGTTGAGCCTTGAAATTGGATATCATTCGTCGTGAAGTTGAAATCCAATGTAAGTTGCGTTGTTTCAAGGCCAATATCCTTCGTTGTGAAGTTGAAATTGACTCTGAAACTGGGAAGTTTATTGACAGACACTCCTCCTTAGAGTTGGATATCCTTCGTCGCGAAGTTGAAATCCAATCTAAAGATGGATACTACTTGTGTGCACGATTCCCTTCGTCGTGAAGTTGAAACCGCGGGTGGCCCCTTCGTCGTGAAGTTGAGCCTGGTAATTGGATGTCCTTCGTTGTGAAGTTGAAATCCAAGTAAGTTGTATTGCTCCGATTCCAATATCCTCCGCCGTGAAGTTGAAATTGGTTCTGGAACTGGGAAATTGTTTGTTGACAGTCAGCCGCCCCTTCGCCGTGAAGTTGAGCTTGTGCTGTCTTGAGTCCAATATCCTTCGTTGTGAAGTTGAAATTGACTCTGAAAGTTGTTTTTTGACAATCAGTCGCCCCTTCGTCGTGAAGTTGAGCTTGTGTTGTCTTGGGTCCAATATCATTCGCTGTGAAGTTGAAATTGGTTCTGAAATTGGGAAGCCCCTTCGTCGTGAAGTTGAGCCTCAAATGGCACGATATCCTCCATCATGGAGTTGAAATCGCGGGTGGCCCCTTCGTCATGAAGTTGAACATTGACTTGAATATCCTTCGTCATGAAGTTGAAATCCAAGTATGGTATATTGCGGGTGGACACGATTCCCTTCATCGTGAAGTTGAAACCGTGGATGACCCATTTATTGTGAAGTTTGGCTTCGAGCTAGATATCCTTCCTCATGAAGTTGAAATCTACTCTCGAGCATATTGTGTCATTTCGAGCTCAATATCCTTCGCTGTGAAGTTGGAATTGACTCTAGCATGAATCTGCAAAATTATGCACATATGCGATGCTATGGATGCGATGCTCTTATGTATGCCTAAAATGTATATGCAAAACATGTTATTTTAGGGTTTGGATAGAAATCTCAATCCTTGGTTGTCAACCTTGATGACTCTTGATGCTAGAATCTTGAATTTCTGATTCTTGATCTGGGATTCTTCGATATGGTTAAAACAGAATGTTGCTTTGTGAAGAGAATAATTGCGTGAGCAGTCTTCATTCCATCTCTGACTCAGTTTGTCTTTATTTCCACCAGGGTGTACTCTTGTAGACCTCAGCCTAAGACAATTTGATTTCCTTTCCCTATCAA